GTCGTTTTTCCACCTCTGGAAGCTTGTGCCTGCGGTGTCTGCCGTGCCGGATCCTGCAAAAGATCTGAAAAATATTTGCATTTTATTTTATTACGATCGAAGTAGGGTTTGATTTGATCAATGTTTGCGGAACAGGTTTCACCATTTCTGGCTTTTAACACACTACTACAGCGTGAGTTATTTTTTTCTATAACATATGGTCCTTCAAATCGTGGAAAAAAATTTGGCAGTTTTATCTTCTGGTGGTGCTGAAGAAAGTGAATGCTTAATTTTTAAAACTTCAAAAACTTCATCCCTACTTTATAAGTTACTCCCCGTCGTTTCAAATCATAATAGAGCTTCTGTTTTCTTTGTGCTACTTCCAGTATTCTTTCTTTGCTTCTTTTAATTAGTTTTTCTATATCACCCATTTTAAATTCTGGGGCTCTTTGTTGCACATAAAATAATTTATCTAACGGCGTTATAATCTTTCTGCCTAGAAATAACTCAGCAGGAGTTTTGCCCGTTGTATCATGTTTTGCGGTCCTAAGGGCGAAAGCAAATTCATTGACATAGTTATCCCAGCTTTTATGAAAATTTTTAACATAACTACGGATAATTTTCACTATATTTCTATGTTGACCCGTTCCGCTATATTTGATTGCGGCCGATACGGGACCATTTTTAAATGACGTATATGCCCAGTTTTTGGCACATGTCTTCAAATATATTACTTACAAATTGAGGACCATTATCCGATATAACTTTTAGGGGCGCCCCGTATTTTAAAATATATTTATTTAAAATAGAATCAGTAACTAATTTCGCGGAGGCTCGTTTTAAGGGAACAATTTCGGTCCATTTACTAAAATGATCAACCATAACAAGGAGATAGCGACTTTTATTTAACTGACTTTTTGGGAAAGGGCCCAATAAATCGATGCCAATGATTTCATTTGGAAATTCGGATTTAATACTATTTAGAAACCCGGCCGGGCGGAAATTAATATAATTAACTGCTTGACATGTTGGGCAGGACTGGACATACGCCCTTGTTAACTTTTGCAGTTCAGGAAAAGTAGACTGCCTCGCGTACGCGTTGGATAGTTTTTCGAATACCAGCATGAGAAGCTAAAGGGCTGTCATGGAGCTCCTGCAGGATATTTAATCTAAGACTAGCTGGGATAACAGGTCGAAATTCGTTGTTGGAATTCGTAGTTTTTGTATAGAATAATAGACCATCTATTAGTTCGTAATGGGCCGCCCTATTTCTTATCGCCACAATATCTTGGTGGCTAAAATTTTCAGGATCCTTCAAATACTCATAAATGCTTCCAAACTCAGGATCCTTACCCAGTTCGGTTATTACAGTTTCTCGGGAATTTATTGTACATGCTGTGAGCATTGCCACCTTTACGGTATTACCTTGTTCATCTATTTTAATTTTTGATAGGGCATCTGCTACGATATTTTCCTTTCCGGGGGTATGCTTGATTACCAGATTATATTCTTGCAGCTTGAGTGCCCATCTTATTAACCTTGGGGATAAATTTTTCCCTGAGTACAATCTAGTTACCGCCGCATGATCAGAAGTACACTGTTATCGGCGCCTTTCCAAAATAGACTCGGAACTTTTGCACTGCTAACAGAACTGCAAGTGCCTCTCTCTCGGTCGCGGAATAGTTTTCTTTGTGTTTGATTTAAAGTTCGGCTAAAAAATGCCACGGGCTGCTGATTTTGCGAAAGTACCGCTCTACTACCGCATAATCCGAAGCATCCGCTGAAATTTCTAAATTTCTCATCCTTTTCAGGAAATTTCAACACAGGGGCTTGCGTTAATGCTTGCTTGTTTTAATTTTTCGAAAGCACTATTGGCTTCGGCCGTCCACGAGAATCTTGCCTTTTTCCTTTTTAATTTTAACAATGGCTCAGCGATAGCCGCAAAATCTTTTATAAAGGACCTATAATATGAACAAAGTCCTAGAAAAGAAGAGAGCTTCTTTGCCGTGTTTGGAGTCGGATACTTTGTACAGCGATTATTTTTGATTCGTCTGTCTCGATTCCCTTTTTGAGATATTTGTAACCTAAATATTTTAATTCAGGGGCTGCAAATTTGCACTTTTCGACATTAACTTTTAGACCGGCCTCATTTAATAAAGAAAACACCTGTCTTAAATCCTGTACATGTTGGTCGAGATTATCACTAGTAATAATGATATCGTCTAAATAGATAAATGTGGACTTTCCAAGAACAGGTCTTAACACAATGTCCATGCATCGCTGAAATGTTGCCGGGGCCCCTGAAAGGCCAAACGGCATACGCAAAAATGCATAAGTGCCAGACTTGGTTATAAAAGCAGTCTTAGGCACGTCCTCAGGCCTAACCCCTATTTGAAAATAACCAGTCGTTAAGTCTAAAGTCGTCATAAATTTGGTTGATTTTATGTTCCTTAGAATTTCTTCAATGATCGGTAACGGATATACCGGATATTTAGTTATGGAATTTAATTTACGGTAATCAATAGCGAATCTCCGCTTTTTTGGATGCGTCAAAGGATAATCATTATTTTTCTTACATAAAACCACCCGGCTAGCATAACTACTTGAGATGGGCGTTATGATCTTTTTACGTAGCATATCGGTAATATGCCATTCTATAATTTTTTCCTTATTCTTATCATACCGGTATGGTTTTTGACGAACTGGCAATTGCATCTCCGGTGTCAATACTATGGTTAGTAACCTGAGTAAATCCTGGAATATCACTAAATAACGAAGCAAATTCACTTACCACTTGTCGGATTCTTCCTTGCTCGTCATTAGGCAGGTGGTCAAGATTTAACATCGGCGGTTCAGCCTTTTCTGCACGAACTGGTTTCATTGTCAGCTTAAGGGACGCTTCATTAAAATCCAGTGTTGCTTGTGCGTCTGAAAGAAAATCTATTCCTAAGATTAATGTGTGCTTGCAGATTCTTTACTATAAAAAACATCACCTTTACTTGTTCGTCCTTGATACGGATATACAAAGGTACTTTACCTACGCACTTACATTAGTTCTCCTTGCGCCGCTAACACTGTCGTATTATCCGAATTATATATGCGGTATTTGCGAAAATACTTCCTAAAAAAATCTTCTGCCACACAGGAACACAGTGCGCGCCTGTATCCAGGAGTGCGGTGGCTGGGATATTATTCACCAACACTTCAATCTTCGGAAGAGTCAAATTTTTCACCATTACTGTATTTAACTTGTAGGAAGAGGGGTTTTCGTGGACCTTCGGATTTCCGCACCCTCCCGTCAGCAGAAATCCGTTTTAGTTTAAATTATTTTTCTTTCCGTGCTTTCCTTCTTTTTTCCACTGGCCTTGAGACTTTTTTCCTGGGATTGCTATTGAACTGTCGACGTTCGCCGGCTGTTTTTGAATGCTCGGGTTTCCTTGCCCACTGATTCGCTTTGGCTCCGTAGCCGTGTGCTTGAGTTTGCTGTAGTCTTGGCGTACCAAATTGGTTTCGCTGTTGATATTGGCGTCTTCTTTCGACGTCCGCCGTTCTTCTACTTTCAAACTGGATTGCTAGCTCAAATAACTTTTCCAGTGTAGTCGGATTTCTTAATTCAATAAAGTCTTGCACTTGGGGCAGTAACCTCGGCAAAATCACTTGAATTATTTCAGGATCCGGACGGTTTCCATACAAGAGTTTGAAAACGTGAATTTTTCTTAAAATAAAGCTTGAGAGGTTTTCGATTCTTTGTTGATATATACTGAAAAGTTCCGTTTCTAATTTCGCACGATCCCTTACAACAGGGAAGGCTTTTAGTAGGGCAGTCTTGAAATTTCTCGTAAGTATAGGTGGGACTTCCTGCTTGACCCAAGAGACTTCTGCCTATACATTTGAACCAGTTTAAGCGCTTGGCCCCTCAAAGCGCTGGTAGCTAAGGTAACTTTTTGAAACTCTCGTGCACGGGGTAGAGCATGAAGTGGTCATCCAATTTTTCCAAAAAACTGGTTACCGGTGAGTTTCCATTAAATGTTGCTTCTGGTTTCATCGAAGCGCGCATGGTCTGGACGATGTAACCAAATCCTTCCAGGGCGGCAGCTGGCATTTCTGGATTCTGAGCCGTTTTTCTGCAGGCAGCACAGGTTCTTCTTGAAACTCGGCCATGGTTATTCTTCTTCGTTGGGCGCCACTATCAGGGTCAATGTTCCTTCTAACCTTCTTCGGGAACATGCAAGGACCTGACTCGGAACAGAGAGCTTACTAAAGCTATGTTCAAACTGTGGGGAAGTAGACAGGATACACAAGAAGGGTATACAAAACCCTTTATTTTTCTCTATTTACAATAACTTCCGTACTTCGGAATACCCAGACCCGCTACTTGGGGTCTAACGTAAAAATATAAAAATAGAACTAAACCCTAATTTAACTTTAAAATAATAAACGTGGAAGATTGGCCTTATATTAACAGGAAGCGTATGTAGCACAGAGAACTGTGAACACTACAATACGTTTACATTTTATCAAGAGGATTAAAACCTCTGGCCTGGAAGGCAACAAGCAACTGCGTAACTTCTAAGGTAAGCGGCCTGTTTCGACTCACTGCTTCCTCTCCCTCGCTTGGCAAAAAGCCACAACTTAAATACTTGGCGTTCGCCAGACAAACTTTGCATAAAAACCTTAACGCTTATAATTCTGGCCGGAAGTAGAAAATAGGAAGTGATAGTAAAGATTTAAAATAAAATAAACGTTAGTAAAACTTAAGATCCTTACAATGTTTGACCTTTGATTTGTTACCCACTACCTATTTCAACGCAGCCAACAAAACTAAGCAAGTACCTCTCTGATATATAGTGAGTAATACAACTTTAAAGCGCTTTCATTTTCAAACAACAAATACAGCAGATGTCCATGACTAATAAACACGGCAATTTCATGCCGATTCAGAAGTGATTTCAAAGCTTCTTCTGTATATTCTATATTCTACACATTAAGAGCATTTCAAATAAAATGCTGCAATCTTTCAGGATTCAGATAAAGAGCGGACACTTGTGTTGGGTGAAGACGACGAAAATGTGGCAAAAATACAGGAGCTGGAAGAGAAAATCGAAAGCTTGGAGAATGATTTATCTTTCAGTAAAGAACGAGAGTTCATTTACCACAAACGACTACAGCAAACGGAACAAAGTAAAAGCAGTTTACAAAATGAGATCACCGTTACAAAGTTTGAGCTTCAAAAGCAAATAACACAAAGAGAGAAAGCAGAAACAGCAGCACAAGAGGCCTTGGAACAGATGCAGGAAAGACAAGTCGTCGTTCGAAATCTTACAAGTGAAATACAACAATTGCAGTTGGACTTGGAAGCGGCCAAAACTCACTCGAAGAGGTTTGAAATTTGATGAATAAGTAAAAAATACGTTATAAATTGTGAACTGCATCTTATGGATATCGCAAAGTTACTTCTTTTTAGATTAAACGTTATGGAGGGAAAAAGGTTAAATAATAATCAGGCATTACAAATATTAATCTTAAAATCTTACTTAGGTTAATCTTTAGCTAGGGGTACATAGGCAATAGCCATTTCGTAATTATGTAGAAATGTCGCCAAATTAAAATACATTAACCTTGAAATGTGCGTACAAGGTAGCCAGAAGGTCCCTTTACACGTGGAATTATTTCATTGTAGCTGTAATAACACTTACAGTTATTTGTCCAAAACGTCTGAATGTGCACCACCATTATCCCAGCACAACGCCTGAATGTCCTTCTACTCATCTGCGTTAGCAGCTTTGATGGCACATGCTAGAAGGCTTCAAGCGCGTTTGTCCGCAGAACATCGTTGTCCACGTATCGCTTCTTCCCTGATGTATAACTTGATGATCCTCCACAGGACGTTGTCTGGTGTCGTATAGGCAGCTGAGAATAAGGCTGAAGGGAGATCTGATGAACGCAAAACACTTCTCAGGCGAAACATTTTCTCCTCCCACACTATCAAATTCTGAGAACCTGTTGGCTCCTCTCGAAATGAAGATTTTTTTTAATTATAACATCAAATAATTACAAATAATTCGAAAACGATAAATAAAAAATATAATGCTTCTTCAATAATATAAATATAAATAATGTAGCTCTCAAAAACTGAAAAATAATAACCCCGAGAACTTTCTTTTAATGACCGGTATCAACTTTGATTAGCTATCACGAACGACTGGACTGATCTAATGTTATGATTAAATTTATTTATAAAATTAACACATTCATAATCGTGGATGAGTCTAATTTGATTCATCCGCAATTAGGAATATTTTTATTTCGTAATTTATAATGAGTTGTATCATTTGAAAAACAACATGACAGCTAGTGTATTCCCGATTTAATTGCTTATCTCAAAGAACAAAGGAAATGAAGAAGTTCAATGACCGCTAGTAAAGCCGGATGCGAGTGATAGTGCATCTAACAATTGTTATGTTTCCATCAATTTTTAAGCTGCTTTAATTTAAACGAAAGGAAAAGTAAATTAGTTCTAATATGCAAAAGTTCAGCCTACTGAAAATTTTCTAGGTTCTTTAGCAGCGAAATAGTTTCGTAAAATCTCGAGTCCCAGGCTTAATCTCTCGCTTCGAAAATTATAAACTACCTAACTAAACTATCACACTTTATAAGCAACAGACAGCTTGATTATAGACATATGGGTTATAAAAGAAAAACACTGTTCCCATTTCCGCTAAGAGAAGCTCGACACTTATAGACACTTATAGTATATACTACTTTCATCAAGTATATAGTACTTTCATCAAATAGTAAATACTACTTTCATCAAGTGCAGGGGTTCTCAACCGGTGGTACGCAAGAGAAAAGTAGGTGGTACGCAAAGAAGCAAAGTATTTTAATTAAAGTCAAAAATTAAAACCCCAACATCCTAAATGAAGTTTTTCTCTAACGATCATAAATTTATGCGATCTGAGCTTTGTTTAAGCGTGGTGGTGGTAGTAGTACTTTGTAGAGTTGGTACTAACGGTTTTCAATTTTTGCTTAGATGGTACGCGTTAGTCAAAAGGTTGAGAACTACTGGTGGATTGTCAGATCTGTTAGGTTCTTGAATCTTCTAAGAAGCACGCTGCTAAGGAAATCAAAGAATTTGCTTCTAATAACTCCCTTATTTTCAAGGTTTTTGCGGAGATTCGAACCTTGGACCGAACTACCAGTGTCCAGCAACTTTACTGCTTGGCCGCTGGTGGGCAGTTTAAAAGAATTGGATTTTGTGATAGTTGAAACTCAGTACATAAATCTGTTCTTTTGATTTTGGCGACAGGAAACGAAAGGGTATAATAACTTAAAAGGCGGCCCTTCGTAGTATTCTCATTAAAAATGCAATGCTGCTGTACCAAATAACACTTTCATTATTAGTGCATCAGGGCCTTATAACCAGCAATAGATAATCATTTGATAACTAACGGTTATTCATGAATGACTTAAACTGAACGTTAATAAGAAAAACATTGCTATTAGTCTTTTTCTAATCTTTTTTTTTTTTTTTTGGCTGTATGAAATGTAACTTTGTGTCCCAAGCCAAAACAAAACAAGGAAGAGTTTCCTGTTGCTTAGTAGACATTTCAAATAGACCACGCTGCAGTCTGAAAATATTACATTTATCTTAGATTGGATAATTTGCGTTGAGAACTTAAGAAGGTGAAAACAGTGTATTTAATTAAGTCCTTAGTTTTTATTTTTGTGCTGTCTTTTGTGTTAAGGTGTTTATATCATATGCTTGTTTCCTCTTTCTCTTTATTTTTTACAGCCTCTTGAAAGACTTACGGAAATGCCAAAAAGACCTCGATATTGCCACGCAGAATTCTGAAAAGTTAAGAAGGGATTTCGATATCCGAGAAGATCGTATAAAAGCCCTTCTCTCTCAAAGAGACAGTTTGACAGCAGAGCTAAAAACGAAGCATTCTGAAGTCTATTCCTTAAAAGTAATTATATCTCAGCTGCTGCTAAAAGTTATTCAAGTGACTCCTGGATTTTTTAATCATTCATTTAATAAATCCATTTATTATTTTCCTTGCATTTTCGAAAGCAGAAAGATATATGATACTAATAAGAATTCTGACATAGGAAGAACACGTCTTTCATTATTTGGTTGGTAAAATACTGACTTAAAACACAAAAGCTTCTGACCTGAAGTTGCTTTTAAAAGGATTACTTTTTTAATTATATCTGAATTTTTTTTGTGTGTGTGTGTAATAACCATAATATCGTAATCGATAACAATTTATAGTGTTAATCAATGGTGACAGAAAATAAATTATATGTATGTACATTTTAGGTTACTTAATGTAAATCTGAGCAGTGGACGCTGTGATTTAGCAAATATGAAATAAATATCTAATGCATTGTAATTAAAGTAAAACTTTGGGAATTCCTTCCCAAACTTCCTAAATTTAGGAATTCGTTCTCAGATTTTTGTTCTAAATATTGAGCTATAACAATACTGTTATAAATAGTAGCTTGGAATAGTTATTTGGAATAAATTACTTCATTTACAAGAGGTATATTTATAAAAAGTTGGAGTTGGTATTTTTCAGTTAATAAAAAAAAAAAAAAAAAAAGTACCACTCAATGTGCAGTGCAGCCAAAATGTTTTGCAATGATCCAGACTGAGAGATTATTTAAGTTGCTGAATTTAAAGTCGTGAAATTTCTCAACTTCTGGCCTCGGTAGTTTAGATTCGTGATGATTACGCGAAAGGATTAATCCTTTTTATTTAAACGGAGCAGGTAAAAAAGAAACATAAAATAAACCAAGAAAATTTTTTTTATTAATGGAGTGATCTCCGAGATAATTTGGAAATCTAGTTAAACTCTTAAAATTTATGGCTATCCTGAAAGGAATCAGCCAACTTAGTGGAAATGTATAAGGTAAAGATAAACATGTCTGACTGCCAATCTATAACAGTAATTTTGATTCCCGAAGCTACAACAAAATTTCAGTGAAGAGTTTGAACTAAGAATTTTTTTTTAAACTGTTTCATAATGACTATCGAAGGTCATGTCATCAGCGCATGTCAAACTGGTAAAGGATTTACTATTCAAAGTGTTTTTTTTTTTTTTTTCATAGGTCTTCTATATTTCGAAAATAATGTTAAATACTTAATATTTAATCAAACTATTAATTAATATTAATGTAGTAATTTATTCGTGATCATTTTATTAGTTGCAGTTTTTTTTGCAAGGTATAAATCAATGATGATCAAATTTTTGCAAGGTATAAATCAATCAATGATAGTACAAAAGACTGAAAAAAAATATAACATATTCATTATTCAGTTTTATAAATATTCATGCACATAACTTCATTTTTGTTCATAGGGTGAATCATGTATTAATAATGGAAAATATGTCACAATCGATGTATTTCTTAATAAAAAGCCACAAGTAAAAGCTATTTATGGTTAAGAATGTGGCTGATTTTAAGGAAAAAGAGAATGGCATTACGTATGTTTTATTTGAGACTTTTTTCAAAATCAGTCAATTTAATTTTAATTGACCTTTAGATGACCTTTAAAAGTTCTATATTATTTTATTTGCTTTTCTTATTCCTTGTACAAAAATAAGCAACTTTTGTAAAGCTGCTTTTCAATTTAAATCGTTATTTCACAGATATTTGAAGGGTACGTGTTGATAACAGAAAATCATACTGTTTCGCAGAAATCTGAATCGATATCACAAAAACAACAACAAAATAAAAAAGTAGCGTTCAGTTAGATTATTTTAATCAAAGCTCAGCATGAAGCTGTAATAATACCTCAAGAAAATTTTTTAATTCTTTGAAGAAAAAACGAAGTGAACATAAAATTATTTTTTCGCTAATAATTCCAATAAATATTTTTTATAGCCTTACATTTGTTTTCTGCAGTTCGTTGTACATTTGTTGTCGTTGGATTATCAATAGAAACTTTTCTAACGCCGTTAAGGAAAATTTTGCTTTATAAAGTCAGGTGATCCATCTAGCCCACCGCACTAGAATTCCACATCTTCTCAAACGAACATTAAACTTTTAATTTATAACATTTATAATACTACAGGTATTATGAAGAAGGCATCCATACTTCTGAAATCACAGGATGTTTTTACCTTCCCTTCCGTTATAACACTCAAAAGTTTATATACATCTCTCATTCTCAGGCCGTCGATTAAGAGGGGGGGAGGCTTAATATTGCTCCCTCCGTACGGGTTTATAATAGATTGCATACACATAGAGCTGATGATAGCTTGATAAAATTTATTTTACCAAAGGGAACTGCATCAAGCGGTAAGATATCTAGCGCCGGCCCTAAATAAGGCTTAAGTATATGTGGGAATTTATTTATTCACAACTCTTCATTCAGAATTAAGCATATGCAAGAAATAGACATAAGTATAATAAATAACTAAACTAATACAATTCAGTCTTAATTGCTTTAGTACGCGATAGACGCAAGATAAAATTTAACGGAACAACTTGTCGTTAGTCGCCAAGCTCATGATGCATAGCCAAATATAGTATATGATTAAAGTTAAATTATGCTAATAACTCTCTTTAGCTCGTGACAGGTGTGAACTTTGTAAAGATCAGCTTAAAACTCTCTCGATAGATCACATGGATAAGTCGTATGCTACTCTTGATAGTACTCGTATAACTGACAAGAAATCCCTATGATACCAGACTTTGAGACAACTTATAGAGCTTAACATATTAAAAATTCTCGCTAGTAATTTAATATGAACAAGTTGAATTCGTAAACACACAAACGAACTGACTACTTAAGGCCCATATATCACACAGCGTTTGTTTCATACGAACAACTGTTTCGGACAATTTTTCTGCCTGGTTTACTATTGAAAGAAAGACGCGCGACTTCTTCCTTCCTTTCCAAAAAAAAAAAAAAAAAAAAAAAAAAAAAAAATGCACGTTGTTCGTTTTCAACCAATCAGCTATCAGCTTCGAATGCTATCAGCTTGTTTGTAATGGGGAACCAGTTTTCCCTGCGTTAACCCCAAAGCGATCTGTGTTGATTGGCTGTTGTGACAAAGCAGAAAAATTGTTCCAAACAGTTGTTCTTCCGAAATAAACCGACGTGTGATAGCAGCCTAACCGAACTAAATTTCTAAAATTATGTTGAAAGGAAAAAAAAAAAAAGGAAAATTCAAGTATTAGTAAAAAATCTGAATTGCAGGCGAATGATTCGCTCGCTAAACTTTTATATTAAGTTAGTGATTCTAATGATAAGTGTAGATTCCTGTGACGCAACTTGTATATTATAATGTGTTATTTAGTAATGCTTATCTTTCATATATTAATAATTTCATGTTTTTCATCTCAAGGCTGAAATAGTAAGTGTTACCAAAGACAGAAATTCATTTTCAAGGAAAATAGCAGTCTTGGAAGAAAGAAATATTGAGATTGAAACTAAATTGCAGAGTTTGAAAGACCAAAATGTAAATCAGCTAAAAGAACTGGATACTTTGAAGAAGGAACAGCTCGAGTTGGATGGTAAGATAAAGGAACTCACGAAACAAAAAGATAACTTGACTGAAGAAACTCAGAAGCTGGAACAAGTATGTTACATAAAAAAATTAAAATTTAAAAATGTTAAAAAAATCATTTTATTAAATTAATTAAGGTTTTGCATTTAGTTACTTTGCTAAGAATGATTCATAATGGTCTCCGGGAGTTTAGAGTAGTATTTGATCTTGGTGAGAAGAAACAGAGTAACTTATTTATAATGCAACGTGAAATGCTCACTTCCCTTTACCTCGTACCTTTCCTTGAACTCGAATGGTTTGCTTTTAATGACATGGTAAATACACTAATGTTTGTCAAAAATGCGACACCATGAAGAAATTGTTGGAAATGAATGAAATTTATTCCACATATTTTACTGATAGTGGTATAAATAAACGATCAAATTTACAATACAAAAAATAAATACCCGAACATCGCATCGGTACTTTGTGTGTCCGCCACGCTGAGCGATGACAGTCTGCACATGTCGTGGCATTGAATCATATAGGTTCTAAATGCAATCCCGAGGAATGGCATTCCATATGGCTTCGACTTGACGTCAAAGTTTAGTCTTAATGTGTGCTCCACCAGCTGTACAAGTGAGTCGCCGACCGATGAAATCCCAGAGATGCCCAGGGGAATAAGCAGGCGATGGAAGAAACGAAACCTGTTGTGCCCTAAAGAAGGCTTGTGCAGTCTGAGAAAGATGTGCACGGGCATTATCCAGCTGGAATACAGTGCCCGAAATGCGTCGAAGAATGGGAAGGACATCTGTCTCTACAACTCCCTTATGTAGAGATCACTGCTGAGGTTGTCCGTAATCTGCACTAGATGGGATCGACAATTATATCCAATAGCGTCCCACATCATGATGCCAGGCGTTTGTGCGATATGATGCTGAATAACACACTATGACAGCAGACATTCCCCTCTGTAACATCTGACGCCTACTCTTCCATTACTGTACTCCAGACTGTAGCGAGATTCATCGAAGAAAACAACTTGTTGCCACAAGTTGTTTTACGCCACGCTCTGTGTTGCCGTGCCCACTGAAGTCGGAGGCTTCTGTGATTCAGTGACAGGGGAATCCTGCGTAGAAGAATCCTTGTTTCTCCACTGTCCCTTTCTTCCAAACATGCATCACTGTTGTGGCATTGCGCTGCGTGCGAACGGCAACTGCACGATACGAAAGGCCACCCTCTCCATACCGACGATGTGGCCTCGTTCGAACTCCGTTAGTTGTTGATATGGCACCCTCAGCTATTAAAGAGGCATACTGACCATTAATTAAACGTTCACCGCAGACAGAGGACGATAAACAGATTTTAATGCAACTTTAAAATTCTTTATATACATGGAACAAGCGGCGGGTTCTCATTCCACGCATATGTAATCGCTTTTTTTAATTCTAATCATTTGCATGTTTTACCTCACTTTACATTTCCTGTAAATTTGATTCAATTTGCTTAATTGCTTTATGGTGTTCCAGTTTTTACAAACATTAGTGTATATATCCTGTAATTCACTTCGTAGCCTATTTTATGGTTTATTAGAGGAGCAGTTATATTCTCACAGCATCATTGCTTATCTTAGAGGAGCAGTAATCATGACAATTCGTTACTTCACTAGCACTAAGTCCCAGAGTACCTAAAAGACGCTCTTCCTTCCATTAAAATAATTTTTAAGAGGATTAACTATTCCACTTGTTGAATATTCTGCATGAGAATTCCGTCCTCCACTAGCTAAGAACGGCCATGAACCACCACTCACTGAATCAAGAAAAAGCTCTTAATCTGTCAATCCTTCCCTTTTACGGGCCGGGTAAGTTTTCCCGTATTGAGTCAAATTAAGCCGCAGGCTCCATCCCTAATGGTAATCTTCCACCAGTCACTTTAAGTTTCAGCTTTGCAACTATACTTGTCCTCGCAACCCAAAAGGTTTGGCTTCCCGGAAGCTGCCCAGCGTGTCATTTGAGGAACTCAGCTATCGTTGGTATCGTTTATGGTTAGAATTAGGGCAGTATCTAATCGCCTTCGAATCTCTAACTTTCGTTCGCGATTAATGGAAAGATATAAGGGTGCCGGTATTCTACTACATCCTGGTTCTATGGACCTGAAATAACGCATTATCATGACTATCATCAAATAAAGCAAAAACAGACAGAGAAAAACCTCACTGGATTACAGAGTAGACATTTGCATTAAAAACGCATTGAAACTATGTAAAGGTCTGTAAGAAACATTTGAATATTACTCTTTCTATTACATAAACAATGTTACTTTATCCCTTTCTGTTTTGATATATTGGTAAATTAAAGCTCCTGAGATTTTTAAAAAGGTTCATTACTAATTCCCACTGGCGGAGCTAGAAGTTTTGCCGTCCATGGCTGTCCCTGAGTTCGCCGCCCCTCTTGATATATAAGCAAATAACTGATATTTAGGCAAATAAAGTTCTACGCTCATTTTTGAAGAATTTTAATTCCAACTTTATTAAAAATAAAAAAATTAAAATTATATTATCATTTTATTTGTTTTTGTTGATAACGAAACCATCGATGACATCACAGATGTCTACGTGATTCCTCCAATTGCTTTTATGAAGACTGTATAGAAAGATTTATTAAATGCAGAATAAAGACTTGTAATTATTACACACGTTTTAAATGATTTTTATTTTGAAAACTATTCTGACAACTAGCAACAACTACAGCAGTAAGGAAATTTTACAGTAATATAACAGTATTTGAAAGTGAGTTCTGGAGATTGTATTTTAAAATAAACTGCAAAAATTCAAAAGAACCGCTCTTTCATGTTCCTGTTTCGTTTTCCTCAGCAATAATAGAAATAACACTCTGAAACACTTGACGAGGAGTTCTTTCTTATGAATGGCACCGGGATCGTAATTTAGTTAATATTCGCAATTTTCATTCAAAAGTTTCCACAGAATAAAAAAGTATAAGAAAGTATGTAGCAGTTGAACTCTGGTGGTGATTTCTTTAAATATTTTATTTAGAGTAAAAATAGTTTTTCGTGTCCATTTAATTCCGTGTGTCATTTCAGAATCGCATTATTCTTCATCTATCGAAAACCCGCTTCAGTGACTACTGTAAAAGGATGTTTCACAGAAAAATTGCCGTCAGTTGTGGATCGCTCCTTTTAACGCCCCCTAGTTATTCAAATGTTAATTTCCATCAAATTTTTAATACTATAAAATGATTACTAATTCCACTAAAAATAAGCTAATTTTCAGTGAAATAAGATTATACAAATCTAAACTGTGAGAAAATTTCATTGCGTGAAAGTGATAAGACTTGAAATGTTACAATGTAAAAATAAAACTGTATATGAATAAGTTAAATATCTTTCAGGTGGTTGCAAGACTTCGTAGTGAATATAAAAATAGCGAAGAAGCTTGTCGCGGTTTAGAAAAAGAACTGGATGGTAAGAAGCTCGAAATAGAAGCACTCCATGATACAATTAAACGACAAGAAAAAGTGAAAGAACGCATGGCACGTGAAGCTGTAGAGCTAAACAAAACAATATCAGAGTCAGAGAATGAAATAAAACGCCTCGGTATACGCATATCTGGCTTTGAGAAAACCGTCACACAGTTGAGACAACAACTGACTGAAGAACTAGTAAAGTTCAAAGCTCTGGCCGAAGACGAAAGACATTTTCGAAAAGTCAGTCTAGATGCAAAGGCAGAAATTGAACAATTGAATGATCAACTAACTATACTCAGCAAACACATACAGCAACTCAAGGATTATAACCAGGATATAGATGAGCATCGAAAGAAGCTGGAAGTGCAAAATAAAAATATCATAGACCAATTAGGCGTCGCAAAAGAAACGTTACGAAGAGAGGTCAAGAAGCGTGAGGAAGTAGAAGTGAAGTTAGGGCGCAAGGATGATCTGGAGCAAAAACACTTGAGAACGATTGCTGATCTGGAGCACGAAGTTCGTATCCTGAAACAAAAAGTTAAAAATATTACTGAGGAAAAAGATGTTTTGAACTCTAAACTTATTCAGAGAGATACAGAAATAGTATCCTATAAAGAGAAGATTCGATTATTAGAGCAGGATTTGGCTAGATTAGATAGGACACTTACGGAAAGAGTGGATGATATCAAACTTCTCAAATTACAGCTCTCTCAAACGAACAGAGTGAAGTGCCTCATGACAGAAAAAGTGGAACATCTGGATGTGACTCGCCAGGAACTGACTGAAGCTCAAAAACTTCTGCAGAGGGAGAAAGTAAAATCTAAAGCAATAGAAGATGAAGCACGGAGACCTGTAAATTTCCATCGGTAATACGTTATGAATATTAAGATAATCATTTACACAAGGTGGCTGGAGAGAGGATATCTTATATAATAAGTTCTATTTTATGAAATTTTTACTCGTAACTATTACCTACTACATTGTATTAGTGTTGTATTATAAACTTTTCTGGCTTATATAGTGGCCAAAGAAATTTATCTAGATTTCTCTGCCAGCAATCACAGCATTATGTCTTGCACAATGAAGGCAATCCATGGTTCATTATGTGGAACGCTACTCCCTGTATGTTAGTCTGGGAGTAATTTTAATCCGTTCCCAAGCTTGATCTAAAATCGCTAAAACCCTAAAAATGTTTCTAAAAAATGTTTCTAAGAATATTAAAGAATAAAAAACGCACGAATGTTGGAAACTCTATGGATTTATTTATTCATTAGCTATAAAAATATTTATGTGCACAGTATATGTGCTTATCTTACAGTTTTCAATTCAGGATAGAAGGTTATATTCTCAGTCTTTGAAGTAGAAACGGAAGATTGAACTGTTGTTGACCTTCTTGCACAACTGCCTTTGGCTTCTTGGAAGGTTCCGGTTCAAGAAGGTATCTCAAGTAGTTTAATTCTCACTTTCCTTCAAGATGATCTTAAACTAGCGCATGATATTATCATTGAAAAGATTATCATCTCAAATTGATTGAAATACCGCTGTTTGGTTGAGACCAAGTTCTCTTCTTTCTGGGCTCCATGTTAATCTGGAGCTTCAATTCTTTTATCGTAATATAATAACTGGAAATATGTTTACTCTTTTGCTTGCTGTTGTTTTTTACGAGCAGATATATTTTCTTTGTTACGCATCGCCTCAACGGAAAATAAAACAGATTTATTTCCTCGTTTAAGGCATTAATAATGTGAGACGATATTTGCTTGAAGTTTGTGTGAGACCGTATTCGATAAGCAAGACATTTGCAATCCATATGAGCATTCATTATGTGAGATGTTCATCATGTAACCATTGTAATAATAATCTGATAACTATCTACATGGTCGCAAATTCATTCCATGTTAATTGAACCATGTTTGATATAACTGTAATCATGACATTTATTACGTGGGCTTTTATGCGCTGTACAACATTAATTTTGAACACTTTTTTAAGATTTTTGATAATCTTTACTCGCTTTATAGCATTAATCTTGATCATAATTTACTATCACTTCGTATAAATATGCAGTAGAAATGTGTCTGGTGGTTAAGAGGGCTTCCCTAAATATTTGTGGCCCTTCAAGAAATGAAATATCTCACGAAACAGATCTCCGGTTGCATTTAATTGTTGTTCCAGAAAATGATGCTTTTCTGTCTTGAAGATTTTCTTCTAATTTATTTTCTAACAAAAGTAACAGACTTTAATTCGATCAGCCACTACACGCAAGAAACCTTCACTTAGATTTCCAATAAATATTGTTATTAAACTGAGATCGTCTACAATCACTCGTTGATGTCTGCATTTAAACGGTCACCAGTTAGCTCATGCATGTGAGTTGTGTTTAGAGGAACATTTGAAAGATTTTTGGTGCAAATTAGATAGGTCTGTTTTCCAAGATAATTTCATTGTTTCCAGTTCTTCTCAACTGGACATCCTTATATATTATGAAAGTATTCAGTTCCGAGATGGATGACATATTTCAGCTTACTCATCGCTTTCTTCATATTCGAGAAGCATATTGAATTGTTATTTACAAGTAGCTTTTACAACTGAAAAGATTTATTTGTAATACGTTAATACTCGTATGTTTTATATGGAAGTAAATCATAATGCCCCTTTAATCAAAAGACAACCGAAATTTTTTTATTTTTTCCGCAGCTAATCATTACAACTAAGGAAGGTTTTTAAATGTTTTCTCAATTTATCAAATTAAGTTTATTATTTTATTCTGCACTGAAAAATTACACTAACAAAATTTTGAATTTTATTTCAAACGTTAAACTATATTGTTTATTTCATATCGATCAATTTTTATAATTGTGTCTAATATATAAAAATGTTCATTAATTTAATATATTCGCTCCTGTATCCAGATGCATTTAGCAAGGATTTAAAGTATACTTTTATTGTTAAATTGCATGATGTTTTGAAGTCTATAATGTATTATACGATTCAACTTCTTCACTAAACTTCTACTGATCAAACTTATATTGGTAATGGTCATCTTGACTTGCTTTCCAACAATTCTATGAGTTTTAGAAATGACGGATGTCTTTTTTAAAAATCTTAGAACATAGAAAAAATTAGCATTAGAAAATCGAAGTGCTAAAATAGGCGTCTGCTAATAGCAAATGGAGTAATTTCGAATTGTTTTCCCGCAGTAATCTCGACCAAAAGCACCAAACGATTTAGATCCCTGCTTTTACCAACAGGATTGGTTTTGATCAGTATTATAAGGTCTCTGTTATCACTTTATTGACGTCTTTAATTTATGTCAGTTTAATTACAAAAACAGAATTTATTTGACAGCAGTTGTATAATAATTATAAAAATATCGTTACACATCTCACTAAACGGGCTAGTAAATGCCCAATCTGGAATGTCTTAAAAGCATACTCTTACAAATGGCATTCCCTACACCTAGATCAGTCTATGCTCCCGAATAAGTCCTCTAAAGCCCTAGACAATTTGTTCTTTCAAGGATCCTCGAAACCCACTTGCATTATTTTTATGAAAAATATGAAATGAAGACGAAAAATTATAGGATGATTTGGGGGGGAGCACTAAACTCTGGAGCCTTCACCCGTGTCTTTTACCTTAGGTGGTAATTAGAGCATGTGCAGACGCTATCAGTACAGCAACATATTACAACTAAGCACCGAGCTGCATTACTTTAATGGGCATGTTAGAACCTCAACAGTATACTATAAAGAAATTGACGTACTACTTGACACATCGACACTTGTCACTCAGTATATCATATTGCACGAGATGTAGTTAGAGTAGACTACCTTGAATAGCATATTAAGCATGGTAAAGGCCTAACCACTTTTGGAAAATTGTTTCAAAATTGTCAGCTTGTTTTGTTTCTAATAGGCACTACCGGCTGCTTGATATTAAAAAATAGTCGTGAAAAGCAAGGCAGTATCATATTTAAAAATTAAAATGATTATTGACAAGGTTGTTGAAATATAAACTGCACGTAAAATCTTGTTGAGACCTTTTTTACTTTGTTCTTAAATATACGAAATGAAACGAAGAAGGAAAATATTAAAAGCAGTGGTGATTCCCACACATGTTCCTTGCTGTATTAAAAATAGCACGTCATATGCAGATTTTAAGATTATACATATAGACTTTTTATTATCAAAAGGTTAATAAATTCTGTTTAGTAAAAAACTTCATATTTCAAGAGTAGAGTATCTTAGTAAAGTTCGGTATTTTGAGACACAGATTTTTTAGGACTGCAGACAGTATTTCTCATTAGCAGTTAATAATGCATGCATTCAGATTACCTCTGCCTTCACTATATTCTCAGATGGCGAATTCTGGAAGGCACAGACCCGGATCGGGCTCAGCTGGTGGCCAAAAACCATGCTCTCCAGAAACAGTTAACTAAGAGGATGGCTGAGTTGGATGACAAAGAGTTGGAACTTCGGGAAAAGGAAAGAATCGCAGACGATTTACGAGAGATGCTGCGAAAGCGCTCGGAATCGAATGCCGAAGAACAGCTCTGGGCCTGCAAGCAGGAACTTCGTTCCCGTACAGAACGGCTGAAATGCTTGACAGCCGAAAATAACATGTTCGAAACCTTATGCGGGAAATATGAAAAGCAAATCATGGCTCTGCGCGAAGAACTAAAAAAGAGCAAAATAGTTAAAAGTACGAAATGCCAGAGATGTGCAAAGAAAATGAGAACTATGCGTTAATAAAACGTGGATATACTTTCACCTATTAATAGACTGAACTTCAATGTACATTTTTTTCTTTTATCTCTAGATTTCTCACAAATATTCATATTTACACTGTCTTACAATAATACCGTATAATTATAATTTAACAATAATACCGTATAATTATAATTTAACAATAATACGTATAATTATAATTTAACAATAATACCATATAATTATAATTTAACAGTATAACGACACGCAGCAGGATATTTAATAAACTTGAATAAAATACCTCTCTAAATATTTTTCTTGGTCATCCAGAGTTGCTGGACAGTTTCCAGTGTCCTTATCCAATCATCCCTAGATCTGAAACGCTGCGAGATCAGTATTTCAAATGTAAATAAATGCCGTACATTTCAAATGTAAATAAATGCCGTACGGATCTACATCACACCAGCTACTTTACCGCAAATACACAGACAGACCACTATCATCTCGGCTTCCCTTCCAATGTAAGAAAGCGCAAACTATGATGGTCTGAAATAAACCTATTTATTCCCATGTCAACCGACGATAACACCAAGCTGATACGATACAAAAATTGAACGTCAAATTAAAATATGAAGTGCAAAATAGCAGCATGCGTCTGTGTAAGCTCTGAATCGGACCTTAAGTATTCGCGAAGCAAATGCGTCTCGCTGAAATTAAGGCCGAAAAATTCATTTCAGGCAACAAAAGGAGTTCTCAGTAATGAACTATATAATGTTATGCCAGAAAAGATATGCTTTTCCACACTACGCTACACACAGGATGTGGCTTTCCCAGCCTGTTAGAAGTGCCTAGCACGTGAGCCTTCACGCAACAAAAAGAGTAACAGAGTAATGAATAAACAAAGCTACAAAAAGCTTTGTCTCAAAGTCTGCACTTACATAGAATAAGTAATTTTCATTCTAATGGGAATTAGAAGTAGAAGAACAGGCAAATTAATAAGCTAATTAGGTTAATTAATATAAAACCTTATAGATGAATATAGTCGTTTTATTTAAATTTTTTTATCCTCTCCTGTAAAAAAATTCGATTAAGGTACTGTTTTTGAAAAGTGATATGATATTATCATTAATGTGCCAAACCTATGAACGGACAAAATCTTTGTTTTGAGAAAATATGTTTAAAGATTTGACATTTTTGAAAAATTATGGTTTGATTGACTCTGAATAATTCTTAGTCTTCTCAAAATAATTCTTTTCTCTGTTTCCGATATAGATACGTATCGTATCTCGTAATATTATAATAATATAGAAATATTATAAATATATTATTCTATATTATAAAATATAGAAAACCAACATATAAAATGCATATGGATAAAACAACAAAAATAGCTGATCATTGTTTTTAGCTTAATACTACTTAGAATGATTTTAAAATTTTATAAATTCTAGAATCATGGTTTTGTACTATTTTGAAATGAGGTCAAATGAGCAATGAACTTCAACATCTTTAAAAGAAAGGTAGTTGAAAATGATAGTTTTTATTCCTATTTTATGTCGGATTTACAATTAAAAAATGTTTAGAAGGAACGTAGAAGTGAAAATGACTATTTAAATTTAACGGACAAAAAATATATATAAGGATTAAATATTTAAAGGTAAAATGTTCGGTCAGGCTTGGGTAGACTCTTTCTTGTTCAGTGGAGAACTTGTACAGATTCATTTTGTTACTAAAGCCTTGCAGACGATTTTTTATCATGCTCTTAGTGCATTCTTTTCACCTTTTGTTTTTAATCGCAACCGTAACATCGAGGAAACTCTATTTATGTTAGCACACAAAACATTATTTTAAAATTTGTTCGCACGAAATAGAACGGTACGAAGGCGTTTGAGTAAATCACTAAGTAGTTTTAGAATTTTCCTCTCGTTAATCGAGTAATTATAACTGTTGATCTAAATTCAACATATTACCATAATAATATTACATGACCTGAAAATGCGTCGTTGACCCCAAGTTCATTAACATGAATTTATTTATGTAAGTAAATTTATTAAGAATTACTTAGATTTGGTTTCGTTTGGAGGGAGAAGATAAATTGCAGTCTAAAAACTTCAAATAATAGCCGATACGACAAAGAAGAATTCACATTAAAAATTTTAAAAGAAAATTTTTAAAAAATCTGAAAGCTTTCAGATTTTTATATTACGTCCAAAGGGGCGTTTTTTTCATTTACATACACATACACGCTTCGAGAGCATTTGGGCTAATGTCCCTTTGGGCTAAAAATATTTAAAACAACATATATTTAGAATTTTCTATAGTTTCACTCGCTGGAGATAAAAATGTTTTTTTTTCCTTACAGTGTTGCAGAGCTCGCTTTGAAATCATTGAGTTTGTTAATCAAAAGTCACAGAATTGTACAAACTCGGCATCGCTTATAATCTCAGCATTACGCATACCGTCAACATTGCACGCCAACCATGATCATGATCCACATAGAACAGTTGCAGCTTCAACACATGCTCTAATGTAATGAAAGTAAATGAAGATTCCTATTTTAAATCTTTTAAAAATAGCAGATAGAAATTAGAAACGCAGAGCAAATGCCAAAGAGAATAGCATCATGCAACTCCAATGATTCGAGTTATAAAAAAATATAACATTTCATGAAAAAAGTTACCCAAATACGAAAATAAAGATGCCATAATAATGTCATTATTTAACAACGAAGTTGACAAATTTGCCCGGTGTTTCACATTTTTGCCAATAATAATAAATGAAACTTATCTTCAGTTTTCTCCTTTTCTAGAATATATTACGGATTTCTAACTCAGTCATATCTTCGCAAATCACGAGTCCTTTCGAACAGATCTTGTAATTCGTTTCTTACTTTCATCTCCCATAACTCTACACATCCATTCAAAACCTTCTATACAGTTCTTTAGTTCCAGCAATTCCATATTCTTTTCACAAACTGGAAATTTATACTTCATACACAACAGGAATTTTTTTTTTTTTTTTTTTTTTTTTTTTTTTTTTTTTTTTACCTTTCGCTCCAATTGGTAAAACAAACCCCAGACATTCACCCATTTTGCAGGAGGAAGTACCGAGAATAGACATACTCGTCACTTATCAAAAAGTTCTTTGAGCCAAACAAGTCCTTTCTTAAATCTTAATAATGCATTTCTGAGCGTTAACTCGTTGTGTTAAATACTAACAATAGCACACAATAAAGTAGATTTATAATAAAAAATATTTCGCAGCAGGATTATAAACCTAGCACCTTCAACATAATTAAAATATAATTTAAATTTTCTTCAAATATGTATTAGCATAGTTGTAACTTGATTCTGTAAAGAGGCGTATCCGATACTGCGTCATAAAAAGACATGCTCAAGCCTAAGATACGCAAGGAATGTCTTTGTGCAGTATCTTCCAGGAATGAGCCGTCAGATTAGATTCAGTAATCTAAAAACGCTGAAAATTGGGAAAACAAGGGGTTCTAAACGCAAAACAATGTAACGTATACACGTTAACCTCACATAACACACAGTAATTTACTTGAATACAATGAGAACTCGAGCAATAATAGGATTTTTTAAATGAACACTTACAAGGTGGTTGTTAAAGGTAGCTATAGATTTTATTCATTTAAATAATCGTCCTGGGCGTTCAAAGTTCTCTAAAATAAAGCGGTGAACTTTGTAAGGAGAGGAACCAATCTCTTGTTGAACACCAATCTCTAGTTGTGTCGACTACTTAACTTCCATAAAAATAGAAATAATAAATAAATAAAAACAATAAACTGGATGATTCAAAAATATCTGGCAAAAATGTAAAATAGGTAGGAACTAAAATAAGTAGATTTTGTAACGCAGTTTGTGTGCAGAAATGGAGCGTTAAAGTGGTACAAGGCGTTGTTAAACGGTAGATGAAAGCATTCTGCTGATGTAAATCATCATTCTCCGTGCGAATTTACAGCTGTAGAAAAGTGGAGCTCACCGACATACATTTAAACTATGGGGTTGGAGGCTAAAAAAGGAGCAAGTACTCAAAAAAGGCACGAAAAATGATTCCCAAGTATCTCCTTTGAACAGCTGCTCTGTTTCTCTATCCGCAAACTAACAGGTAAAATGGATGTCGGTGAGCTCTGCGTTTGTGTAACGATTCATATCACTCGAAACTGCACGGTGAATGATGATTTATGCCAACAGAATGCTTTTACCTACCGGTCTGTACCATATCAGCTCGTCATTTCCGCACACACATTACATTACAGAATCTGCTTATTTCATTTTCCTTTATATTTTTTATAGCTATTTTGAATCACCCTGTATATAAGCACTATAATCTGATCATTGTCATCAAATTTTTTTTTACCCACAGGTAGATTGTTGATAATCCACGTTAGGGCCATGGAGTTTTGTGTTTTCTACATTATAGCTGGAATATTAGAGAGCTTCTCTACGAAAGTATTTTTAAAATAGCCTTCGAGTGCTTTTCTTTAATAGCTCAGATATCATTATTACCTCCATGCTATGTTATTTTGATGCAGAAGAAGTAGACTTAAAAGTGTAAAATCAACATTTTACAGTCAGTTATTGGCTTTTAGAAATGTGCTTTATTTCTCATACTTACGATATAAAATAAAATTCCTTGCAGAATATTACTGGGCAATACAGATAAAATAACATTTTAAGTGATTCGCTTTATGTTGAAGAACAATGCATTTTGATAACACAGAAAAATAAAATATCTTATGCGTTGTCGATCGGCAATAACGTGCTCTACTGTTCCTGATGTCTAACGCTTCTTTCAGGTAGTATTTTCCGTAATACTTTTTAATTTAATTCAATGTTTATTGAAATAATTATTTTACTGCGAAACACAATACGTTAAAAACTTGCTGAAATGGTTATTTTAGAGTACTCGGGTGATATTGTGGATCAGATGTCAGCTGACAAGTTTCAAATTCCTAGATCTTGAGACTTCGAGATTTTTCATTTTAAATCATCATTCTAACTTTACGTCGCAGAATTTTC